GTGAGTGTTGTCTTTTGTTTTTTCTTCTTCCCTTTCTCATTGACGTGACTGCGACGCCCCGCGACGATCGCGCGCGATCAAATGTTTCACGCCTTGGGCTGTAGGAATCATGCGAACGTGCCACTGCTATTTGTATGCGCTGGATTTTGCACGTCGATACTTACCTACCTACCTACCTCACACACTTTCTTTCTTTTCCTTTTTCGATGATTTCACCAGCTTATATTGGAGTCGATGTCGATTACGATATCAGAGTGTGGCTCGCAAGTGTGTCCTTCTGCTCTACTCTTCTAAGGGCGAATCATGATGAACCTCGTACGCCCGATGAAAACTGCATTTTGCCAAACGCAACGTCACCCCCGATCTTTACGTTCCTTCTCCCGCATGTCAATTTTTATCGGTGTCGACATTTCTCGCCCCAACATGTTTCTCGTTTCGGCTCGATGTATTGATGTCATTCGCGCTGGTGTGTGACGACCGCAAGTGACTTCTGTCGTTATTTAAAATTGTTGCGAAATTAGGAGAACGGGTGTCGCGGACTTATTCGAACGAGAAATTGTCGACGATTCGTTTTCGCGAATTTCCATCTCGGAACCCTCGAAACTCGACACAGAGACATAGTGCGCGGCGGTGCACTTACGATGCGATGAGGCTCGTTATGCATCCCATATAGCGCGCCGACGAACTGTCCGCCGATGTGCGGCAGAGCTTCGAGTGCTCGGCGCAATCTGGCGACGAACTTTAGTGCCGTTATAACTTTTTAACGAGGATATCGCGGTATGCGCGCCTGTATGCGTTGTTTTCTTTCTTCCTGCTTTTGTTCTTTTTTTTTCTTTCGTTGCGCACAACTTTCTGACACTTGGCATTTTATATTTTCAGTTATTTCGCAAATGCACTTTCAGTGCGCCTTATCGCTTTTATTTTTCTCGAATTATGATTGCTTTAATTCGTGCTCGCGCGGAAATTTATAATTATTACAATTTAGGAATTTAACATTCGAGCATTTGAGAGACTTGAAATTCCCCTTTTCTTCTCACGATTCCCGGATCTTTGGATTCTCTCAAGTTTTCTCGAGGATTTTTGCGATTTCGACGGATCCGCAGATCTTTGTCACTTTTAATCAAACTTTTGTGATACCCCGGAGAAACTTTCAAGTCACATGCGGCATGTGACAACTCTCAAACCCGCATTTCGTCGTATCACCCAGATTACCACGCGTCCATGAAGAGCTCCGACGAATTCGCCAAAAATCCGTCGTATAACAACGCTTACGTCGCGGATACATGCGACCTATCAACGACCTATAACAATTATTCTATCTATATCTTCGAACAACGAACGTCGCGAATCCCGCCCGACGGAAGTGTTAGCGTGGTCCGAAAGCGCATATCCGCGCAGAATCTACTGGCCCATAAAATCCTTGTGCTCGCCGAGCGTTTCCTTCCGCGGTTCCTCGCGACGCGATATCGGAAACGGGCGCAGGTAACGGAAAAAGTCTCGTTTTTTCCGAACACGCGCGCGCGCAAGCTCGCTCGCAAGCTGAGCCGAGCCCGATGCCTCGGAAGCGCCGGTTGTTCTATCTCGCGACGGTTCCATCTCGCGACGATCCGCTATTTCTGACCGGCCGAATCTATGCCAATGGTATTTTTGTTTCGTTTTCGCTCGGACAGCTGACAATCACGCTGTAACCCGAGTCACTGGGGGCCGCCCGGTGGATAGTTGCACCTACTTGTTACCAGCCGATCGAGATCAAGTTTATCCGTATCGCGTCGTTCCGAATGATGGACTTTTTTTCTTCCCAGATGGTACGTCGTTGTCGACGGCGCGACTCGACGGCGTTCCGGCTCTTTGGGAGATGCTCTTCGAGAAGTTGAAAGATTTGGGCCGGCTCGTATTGATCTTCGGATATCGCGCGATGCGACGGGATCGTTGGATTAGACAGTAATGATAGTCGAACTGAACAGAAATGGGTCGTCTTTCTCGCTCGAGGATAACTCTCCGATAGAACACTCGACTTTTATTCGAGAGTTTCGGCAGAACGCTGGTAGCGATGTCCAATAGTCGCCGGAAAAAGAACTTCCGGACAAAAGCGGGACATGGTGATCTGTGTCTTTGGATTTCGAAGCCGGGACGAACTTATATCCGTCGCACTCGAGTCTCTCCGATGCGCGTCACGGGGCCCCACGGGGCTGTTCGACTTTGAATTTCGCACGTGACAATATCTGCGCACGCTGTGACTACGCTACGGGAACCAGCATTATTCGCAATTTGCTTTTCAGCATCTTGGCGAACGGGATGAAAAGAGAGGAGGAGGGTAATTGTGGGACACTCTGTATGTAAATTGCATCGCTCGAGTAATTTTGCGTAGAACTATCTAGTCCAACGTTATCGCGCAGATGACATGCGCGCGACACCCCGTGAATACCGCGGGTTACCCTTCGAGCGCGGCTATGGGCTTTGTAAAGTCGCGTTAAAGATCATTCCGGCATAGATCCGGATTTAATGGTTAATGTATATTCATATGTCGACCTGGGCGGGAAAAATCTGATTTGTCGGCGAAACGCGTCCGGCGACGTACGTCGTCGCGGCCAGGCTACTTTTCCTCGACACGTGTGTGTGTGTGTTAGCCCGCTGCCTTAGCACTCGTCTTTGCGTGTACAGGACCAGGGCAGGTCACTTCCTTCAAACTTTAACGAGAAGGATCAACAGGTGCCTCGAGGGTTCGTCTAGTTGCATCGCTCTAGCGTGATCCTTTTTTAATCTATACCGGCCGAATAGGAGCCACCGGTATTATGAATTAGCTTGATCGAGGCTTATATGTGGTCGCGATTGAAAAAGGATGCAAATGAGGAAGGAACAGAAATTGCGCGATCAAAAAATTAGAGCGAGAACTTTTCGAAACGAAGCACTCTCTCTCTCTCTCTCTCTCCCCCCCCCTCTTTCCCTCTTCCTTTCTCGCGCGCGCACGTATCGGATCAGTTTGGCGAAACTTTTCGTTTACCGTAGGGATTTTACGCAGGTCGTACGGTATCGGCGCTAACTCAACCGTACTTTTAATCCCCTGTCGTGCGAATTTATTTTTCATGCTAAAGGACGGATATCAACTTGCGCATACGTGAAGCGCGTACTTCCGCGTACTTTCGAAGTTGAACGCTCTTTTGTACCGAAATATAGTGGATTAATTATTCGACGATAACTTACACGAGACGTACTATTACCACCAATAGGATAACCGAATCGAAATTTTGTTCCTACATTTTGATCCTACGAATTTACGTTTGACATTTGACGAAACCCACCACGAATAAGGAGGAATCCCGAGTCGAAATTTAGAAGCTCGATTACGCAATCGGTTATGTAATCGATCGTTTACATAATTATGACGTTGGTGAAATTTCTTTCTTCTGGGAACATCTCTGCGGTCGCTCTCTAATTCCCGCGGACCAGGCAGCAGCCGTCTTTCGAAGTCTGCGTTTCGAAGTCGCGACTGACTTTCATGAGCTGTGCTAAACTAATAAACAGGTCAACATTTCGAGATGATAATAAAAGGAGCCATAAAAAGCTAACATGGTTAGATTTGCGTGAATAGCGCGGTTTCCAGATCCGTCTCTTCTCTCTCTCTCTCTCTCTCTCTCTCTCTCTCTCTCTCTCTCTCGCTCGCTCTTGTATTTTTTCAGTTCGCGTGTCGTGTGGAAAATTTATTCGACACGCGCATCTCGCGTCGATGCGCGACAGTGCATCATTTGCTTGCTTCTCTAACACGTAGGTGCAACTCTCGGGTGGCCCGTCGCGTAATTCATGTCGCGCGGACTCTTTCACACGCGCTATTTTCGTCGCGTCTTACGCACGCATCTTACACGCACGCGCCGGCCTAATGATAGACGTTATAATGGAAAAAAATGTGGCGAGCAGCTGGCGAGGAGAATCTAGAGCGGAGAACGTGGGAAATTCGCGCGCGATACACGCGGGCCGATTTTTAATTTAGCGTGCGCGTGCCCGTCATTGGTCGACGCTGCGTGAATTTATCACCACCGACACCGCACTCATCAGAAAGCTTCGGGAGATTCGTCGGGGATTCCCTGTAATTACCAACGCTCTTTGTGTCCACGTTATCATATTCTATCACGCGCTCTGTGCATATCCTACGTTGCAGTATTGTTTATCATGTTTACGTGGACGCGTTCGCTCAAATATGCAAACGTTATTTTGCGGGAGGAAGGAAAGACGTGAGTCAAGTGATGAATAAGCGAGGCGAAGAAGAAAACACGAAAGCGTTATCGTCCGTGAAACGAAAATCTCGTGAATAACCCGACTGGAATCGCGGACCGAAAGTTTTTTCCTTCGGGTATGAAATTTCTACGATGTAAATTCCGCTCGTTACAGCCCGAATATCGTTGGCGCGACCCGATATTGTCGGTCAAACGACTCTCTTCCCTGTCTCATTTCGACACGATGTCGTTGTCGTGAAAATGCGCATTCGAATTTACTCGTGGCCAAATCTCAAGTGATCGCCCTCGTGTCGTTGAGCGCATAAAGTCATTCGTCTCTCGCGTTGGCTTTCGAGAGTTAAAACAGCGTCGCAACCTCGTGTGAAGTGGATAACGGCCGCCCTAAACGAGACTTAACAACGTTTAAAAAGGAAAAGGCTCGAGCCTTTAAAGCAGTTGCACAGAATCCCGAGAGAGAGAGAGAGAGAGAGAGAGGGGGGGAGGGGGAGAGAGGGGGGAGGGAGAGAGAGAGGGGGAGAGAGAGGGAGGGAGAGAGAGGGAGAGGGAGAGAGAGGGGAGAGAGAGAGGGGGGGAAGAGAGAGAGGGAGAGAGAGAGGGAGAGAGGGAGAGAGAGAGGGGGGAGAGAGAGAGGGAGAGAGAGAGGGAGAGAGAGAGGGAGGGAGAGAGGGAGAGAGGGAGAGAGAGGGGGAGAGAGAGAGAGAGAGAGAGAGAGAGAGAGAGAGAGAGAGAGAGAGAGAGAGAGAGAGAGAGAGAGAGAGAGAGTCGCGGCCG